TTTGATCGACAGGTGCCTTTATTGGCTCCATAATGAAGATCGGATGGCTGGTCAGAAAGAACTAGCAACAAATAAATCTGAGAGTGAACCAGCTAAGAGCCCAGTGCGCTCAACAAATATGACGAAGGAAAGGGAGATGAATCAGACATACGCTGAGATGATTGTTGATTGACTAGCATATAGCAGACCAGGTCGTCGGCTAGGAGTGAAATGGGAACTGGCATGTTGAACGTCTGCAGGTGACATGGAGGAGCCTATGAAGTTAGACAGCGAACTCTGCAGAGGGCCGAATGACAACATGATCTGTTTTTGAAGCCCTGTGTTCCACTTGAAGTCGCTATATACTGCTATACATCCCTTGCCGTCTGAGCCGAAAATTTCGATTCCAATCCGTTCTCAGACTTTATTTTCACTTGGCTCTAGGTCTACTCATAAGCTTTCACTTTCTCTACACATGATGTGCTTCCTGTCACTTTTTGCCTGCTAACTACCCAGTTCTTTCAATTCATGTTCCACTGCTGGACTTGTCGTGTGACGTCTCTTGAATGTCTTCTCAGTATCTATCTAGTGCATTTCTATTTTCTACTGCATATTTATTGAATAAGAGGTTTTCGGCCGGTTCACTGTTTAACACAGTTCTTTGTTTCTTGGTTATCCTTTCTATCTGGCTATTTAATCTTCAGTATCAAGCAAAGGCAGTTGTTGATAAAAGTGTGCAGCTTGTTGGAAATGATCTCAGTGACACCGGTCCCAAATCTCTCAGGCATATAGAAACATTAGCCTCACATCAGTGTTCAAAGTTCTGATCTCATTCTTTGTGCTATCCGCGATAAATTTGCCCACTGACTTCAGAGTAATGATATCCTGACTTGCTTTCTCGACCAAGTCCTATCCGGCTTTGTCATTCTCATCCGTATAGTCTGTAATTGAAGTGATGCTATGGTAGCATCTGAAAGAGGTGATTTCCACCAGATTGCTCCTATTGACGGGGATTGCTGCTACTTGTTGTTCGATGAGTATTTCCATCACTCCTCTTCTCTCTCTCTCTCTATGTTTATATAAAATCCAGTCTTGACTGTTTCTTCTGCCAACTTGTTGATTTTCATTTGTACATTTTCGGCTGTATGTGACGTGGGACATCATCGGAGGTAAACAACCTGTACAGAATGTGAATAGTGATAAAACAAATCGTACGCAAAATGCCAATCTTCTAGGGTTTTTTTCGAGGATGCGTCGGTGGCACAGTGGTTAGGAATCTCGCCGACCATACAAGTGATCCGGGGTTCGACCCCCTGCCGACGCACACCTGATCTCTATGGTCGGCCTGCAAAATTTGGGCCACCTATATCACTTGCTGAAAATTCCTGTACCAAAAATTCGGTGTGGAGTCAAGCTGTAATCAAAAATTTAAAAAAATATCCATCTATCCACTCCCTACAGGGTACCATATTATACAGCCCACAGCAATCAAGAGTATCATCCTTGATAGTAGGCTGCCTTATGTCTCGCCTATTCTCCCCTTTTGAAATGATTTGTTGACCTGTTCGTTGTGAAGCTTTGACATGTGGCGTTATCATCTGCTCAGTGAGGTTTATATGTCTTCACCGCTCCATAATCCTGAAGCCATTTTTCAAATTGCTTCATGGCCAATGCTGTCGAAGGTTTCTTCACAGCTGAGTAGGTTGAAATGCAGAGTTGACTTCCAATTCAAAGTTGTGTTTGTTGATGATGGGCAGTGTTGCAATCTGATCCTTACATGACTTGTTTTTCATGTATCCAGAGTGTTTCGGACTAAGTCTGTACTGTACAAAGCATCTTTCAGTCTTTCTAGAATGATGCGGTTTAGTATTTTGCTTGGATTAACTGGCTGCATGATGTTACAAGTAAAGGAATATAGTTAAGTAAATACTGTAATGCGCAGGGATATCAGTGTTTACCTAGTAACAGTGAAATCCATGGACAACAGTAAATATCTAAAAACAGATTAAGGCATAGAAAGACAAAAGCTTGCCTAGTTGACTAACTCCCTAGTTTTCTAGCTGGTCCCAAACACGAGTAAAAAGAGATTGTTGGAAATGGGGCTAGCAACTCTAACCATAAAGCCAGTCAAACTGTTACAGAAACTTTAACGCACATTTAAAATATTAAAAAATACATAAAACAAGAAAAACAAGTTTAATTTTTTCGCCACAATTGTAGAGGTGAAATGACTCAGGCCGGGTGAAAGCTTTCGGGAAGTCAGCCAACCAGTATTTCTTCTCTCGACGAAAGCAAAAGTAAGAGTAGGGACGTATATTTTGCAGATGATTTATGCTTAATGTCACACAAACTTGAAGACCTCCAGCACAAAACCAAAAAACTGGCTAAAGGAGCAGCAAAGACAGGACTTCAAGTAAATATAAAGACAACGGAAGTGATGAAGATGACCAACACTAACGACGACCAGCACCAATCACTATCAGCCGGAGAGATTTGAAAGAGGTAACTCCCTTCACTTATCTAGGAAGCAAAGTTTTAACCACAGCTGGACGGGATGGAAGAGTGTTTGTTGAAGCCAGGCGGAATCAGAAACTTGAAACCACTTTGGAAATCTTCTGCACTCCCTCAACCAGCATAAAGAACAATATTTGAATTGTGTTCAACATAAATATGAAGTCAGTTAGCGTTTCTTCTATACGGGTCAGAAACTTTCACTACGTGTCATTAAAAGTATTTCCAACGAGCTACAGACTTTTACTGGCTTCATACTGCAGATGAGATGGCTAGCCAGAAAGAATTAGCAACGAGGAACTCTGGCTGGGAACAAACCAACTAAGAGTCAGTTGTTCAACAAATATGTAGGAAAAAATGGAGATTGATCGGGCATACACATTGAGGAAGCCATCAAACGACATAGCGTGACAAGCCATCTGTTGAGTAGAAGCCGAATGGGAAAGGATGAGTCAGTCATCAATGCGAGGATGGCATGGAAGAGATCGTGCGAGGAGGAGGAGGAGGAGGAGCAGGAGGGGGTGGTGAGAGATTATGGGCAATTAAGGGGCCCAGTTAAAGGGGACAGCTGAGAATAGAAGAAAGAGGAGATGTGTTTTTGAAGACCTAAGTTTCACTCGCAACCCAGGGGAATAATAATAAATAATAATAGAAAGACAACCAGTTAAGAATTGATCTTTGTTTAAATCATTTTGAATCTCGTGTTGAATGATTTTAATTAATAATAATGCCCTTTTTCCAAACTATACTTTTGATACACAGCATGTCAGAGAATATTGTATCTAGTTGCCTGACTACACAATAAATGGGTAATAATTGTACAGGGTGTTAGAATTCATGGGCCATTGGATTGGATCCCAGTGGCTTAATGGTATACGAGTTCACCTTGTAACCAGAAGGCCCTGGGTTCGAATCCCGGTGGGTGCGTACTGCTGTACAGTCCCAAACTAGGACGGAACAGCTGTTGAGTACTCCCAGGTTTTTCAATGGTTCTCTAACTGATGTCAGCTTATGATGAAATCCTGTAACCAATCTTTCTTAATTAGCCTCAGAAAGATTAAGCGGTGGCGAGCAATAGCGAAGGATAGAAAGAAAACAAGAATTAACAAACTTACGAAGTAAAGGATTGTGTGACACTAGATTATCATAACTTCATGGTATAGAAGATTAGATGGAATAAGTTTGTAAAAACTAACACGATTTGAGAAGACCACGAGAGATTGGAGGAAGAAAATAATTCAAGGTATTTAACATCAGATTTAATTTAAATTTCTGTGCCATCTATGACAAAAGAACCATGAGAACCGAGCACTTCATTTAAGTCTTGCTTGTGTTCGAAAGTGTAGTTAATAACTTGACATTCACCGAAATACACATCCACTGTTGACGTGTCTTTTCCAAGTATGGAGGACGTTCTGCAGCCTAGTGAATAACAGCTTAACTTTTACAAAGGATGGACATTAATTCCACCTCTCATTGGGAACACCATCATGCTGCTAAATCTGATGGGTTGACGGGTTCTAAATGAAACAAAATACGCAGCGAGGATTTCACTGCAGGCTGGCATCAACCGGAAGAATTCCACTTTCTCGCAAGGTAACGGGGTGAAAGACGAGAACTGCAAGACAAATGCACTCAAAAAAAAGGAGAAGTCAAAAAGCAACCCACAAAAATAAATGAAATTATGATTTCCGCTCATCTAACTACTCGACACACTTATTCTGTAGACAAATATAGTAACAAATATGTCAATCCTACTTAAAAGATACTAGAGAATAGGAAAAAAAGTAACCAGAAACAATAACAGAAGCAGTAGAATCAACTGAATTGCATAACAAGTGGTTTTATTAGCAAATGCCTTTTGCGTTACGCTGATTATTTTTTACAAACTAAGCTAGAAATTTTACCACTTAAATATAAGCGGTAAGCAACTTTTTTTTCTTATTCGGCTCCGTGCGATACACCATTTTCATCACGAAGTACTTCCAGTTACACAATCATACTTTTTCAAGTTTTACATTACATACACAATTAATTAGTTAATTAATGAATGTTTAACCACTTAGGAATTGTGTGTGTCTTCGTAGGCAGTAAATAAACGTGTCACACCCTGTTTAGTTATTTAGAATATGCACACAGTTTTGCAAAAAAAAAACTCGACCCACCAACATTCATTCACACAAAAGCTGTGTAGCGCAATTCTTGTTCAATGTTTCAATAGTATGTAATTGATTGACAATAAATGGTAGTTGATATTCTTATTTGCTTTAATTTTCTCTCTGCAAAAGAGAATGTAACATTTCAGGTGAATGAGACTATTTACTAAGTAATATAACACTGAATTCAACTTATACAAATAAAAAAAGACGCTTAATGACTGAGCAAACACTCAATTCCGCTTGTTTGTTTGTTTTAAATTTTTTTTTTAAAATACACACCACATTTAAAAGGTATAAATATATACAAAAAATACCTTTAGTCTGGTGTGAGCTGGTGTTATCATTTCAGAAATGAAATTTCCAAGTGTTGCCTGTTTCTTCTTCCTTACTGTTACCCTGCTCCAGTCATGCCTAAGCCGAAAATTGATTGGCGGTAAACAACCTGTTGAAAATGTGAACAGTGATAAAATGAGGAAGGCTGTTGAAAGTGCTGTGTTAGCCTACAATCAACAAGCGAATAGTAAACAATGGTTTACTGATGTCGAGGTGAAAAATGCTAAAACTCAGGTAAATCTTATATTTAAGGTATATATTTATATATATACAGAACAAAATATTTAGAGCGACACAATTGTAGTTGCAATAAATTCTTCCTTCCTCAGGCTCTACAATTATAAATCCATTAATGTAAGCATACAATAGCCGGCCAGTAAAGGCGAATTAGAATCATATCAGAAAGTGTATTGTGGAACAAGTATAAGATGGGATGAAACAATAGTCATATAGTTTTTTTTTATTATGCATGGTCAATGAGAACATGGGTCAAAATGAGATGATGCAATTTAATTTAATTTAATGATGTGTATGTATATATATAAATATAGTCAACAGAAAAAAAAAGGTTTTGAGGGTGAGTGTAATCAGGGTGTATGAGACAACACGAAAATAAACCAACGAATGGGGCGGTCTAGACTTAAGTTCAAGGTTGAAAATAACAACAATAAGAATGATTGTAAAATAATAACGATGATATGGTGTAAAATTAAAATTAAATGTACCATTGGCGAATGATTGTCAAATAATAATAATGAATATAATGAAGTGGAATGAACAGGATTTTGTAAATACGATAGCAAGTTAGAAAAGCACACTACTTAAACCTAAGGTAATAGCAGAAATCATAAGAAAGGTCATGAATTCATAAAAGTCGAAAATGAACGTTTGTCAATGAAACAGAGGAATAGAAGAAGGAAAAGAAAAGAAAATTGTGAAAGGAATTTATAGTGTTAATGGAGGATTTGTTGGCTTTATTGTAGGCCAAGGTAAGCATAGAGGTTGAACATACTTCTTCTGTATGCAGAGGGATGGTCTTCTGGTATTAATTGCAACTGCTTCAGCTACTGATAGAAGACGTAGTCGAGCTCCTCTAGATAAATTACTAGGAACGCGGTAAATAACTGAGAACGCTTGGTCAAGCTTTCTCGGTTGTCCAGTATCTACGAAGTGGGCTAAGACTGCACTGTTTACGCATTTGGTAAACCCTTTACTCAACCATACAGGTACATGTTCACGTGCGCGCATGGATAAAGCCCTCTGAATACAACCAATGTAACTATCTGCACATGAGCAGTTGAATTCATAGATGCACACTGATGAGGCCATCTTTGGTAATTTATCCTTTACTTGCTGTGTGAGTACTGGTTTATTTGAGAAGTTTAGTACCAATTTAGCTGAGGGAAATGTTCTATCTATTGCTCTATTAAGTCGACATTTTAGAATGTCAGCTCCAATTTCCCCTTTGTAACTTAACTTAAGATACAAAGGTTTCTTGTCTGCAGTATCCACCTTTACCCTGTCTGTAGGTATTGACATATACCTTTTTAGGAAGCTCTGTGGATATCCATTTTCTTGCAGTATGAGTTTTAGTTTATGCATTTGTTCCTTAATGCACTGCCCTGAGCATATTCGTTTTATTCTGTAGCTAAGACACTTAACTAAGTTTCTTTTATACTGAATAGGTGTGAAACTATAGAAATGGGTATACTGTCCAAGTTTTCTTTCTAAATAATTTCCTTTGTAGATATCCGTCTGTCTTCATGGTAAGTAGGACGTCTAGGAAAGGTAAACTGTTATTGTCTTCTTCTTCACATGTAAACTGAATAGTTGGGTGAACACCATTAATTGCATTCAGAAGCGCTTGTTTATTAGGATTTATATTTATATATATACACACACACATCATTAAATTAAATAAAATTATATCATCTCATTTTGACCCATGTTCTCATTGACCATGCATAATAGAAAAAAACTATATGACTATTGTTTCATCCCATCTTATACTTGTTCCACAATACACTTTCTGATATGATTCTAATTCACCTTTACTGGCTGGCTATTGTATGCTTAAATTAATGGGTTTATAATTAATTGTAGAGCCTGAGGAAGGAAGAATTTAATTGCAACTACAATTGTGTTGCTCTAAATATTTTGTTTTGAATAAATTATGGGAATATTCAGTATTTATATATCTTTAAACTTAATACCTATTTTAGGTAGTTTCTGGTAAACAATATCAATTCGACCTACATCTTAAACCTAGTAAATGTGACAAGAAGGAAACAATGACACAGACGAAAAATGGAAACAAAGTTCATTGTAAAGCAAATGCAGATGCTGTAAGTAAAAAATCATTTTTTCAAACACGAATATTCATTATTTCAATAATTATAAATCTGATTGCAACGTAAGATATTCAAATATTGGTTTGTAGGGATTTGGTTGCTTGGTTACAGAATTTCATCATGAGCTGACATTAGTAAGAGAACCATTGGAAAACCTGGGAGTACTGGAAAGCTGTTTCGTCCTAGTTTGGGTCCTGGGTTCGAATCCTGGTGGGTGCGTACTGATGAAGAGTCCCAAACTAGGATGTAACAGCTGTCCAGTACTCTCAAGTTTCCCAATGGTTCTCTAACTAATGTCAGTTCATGATGAAATGCTGTAATGCATCGTAAGATGTTAGTAACAGGACTGATCATGAGCTGATGAAGAGTTGCGAATTAGGACGAAACATCTGTATAGTACTCCTTACTGATTTTCTAATGGTTCTCTAACTGATTTCAGCACATGATCAATCCTGTAACCAATCGAATCCCTGCAAACCAACACTTGATATTTTTTAAAATATTATCATTAAGTTAGTAATACATTAATCAGTCCAGAGAGGTTTACCACTATCACCCAAATTCTGATAAGAATATTAGTAATTATAATTGAATCGAATCTTGTCGGTGGCACAGCAGTAGAATGCTTCCCAACTCCGCATCTGGTCTGGGGCTCGATCCCCGGCTAACACACTGCCAAACCTCGCTATGCCAGTAATAAAACTGATAAACAGGGATGGTTGGGGATGAGACTGGCAACACCATCTCGTAGAAAAAATGAACACCACTGCTACAGAAACCTAAAGCCTCTGGATTGAATTCCTGTGTTCCACTGGGAACGCAAATGAATAAAAATAATTGAATCAAATCAGCGATCATTTAATCAAACACTTACAGGTAAGATATTACAAGTTTGGCTGAATAGCTGGCAAAACCCCGATTGGTTTGAAGAGGTTCCACTCTACAAGCTGAGCCAAAACACTGGGGTATATGGGTAATGAGCTCTTCCCTAAACGAGTGAAACAACCGCCTTGTCTCTAGGTCACTTAGATATGAATAGCCAGTATTGGTTAATTTCCAAATGCTGACACCACTCCTTACTATATAGTATCATACTATGATTATTAGATAATTGAAGGCGATTAGCAGGAACAGAGGTTCCTTGTTGACTGCTATTCACCATTATTAATAATAACATTAATAATCTACTCTCTATTCCAAAAACAGTATTTATAATATAGAATCGAATCTTCAGCATTTGTTGCAGTATTATATCTGAGTTACTCAAAATATAAATAAAATGAACAGTGGGAACCTTTCCACATTTATAGGAGGAATACTGTCAAAAAGGTGACACAGTGGGCAGGACTCTCACCAACCATGCACATGGTCCGAGGTTCAATCCCCTGCCGACGCACACCTGATATTTATGGTCGGCGTGCAAAATTTGGGCTACCGATATCCATGCTGAAAATTCCATACTTGTACCAAAAATACAGTGTGGAATCAAGTTGTAATAAAACAAAAATGTGCCAAGTATAACATGAGAATAATAAATATAATAATAATAACATCGGGTTTATTTCAGACTGTGTTGTCGATAGAGTATGGAAGTCGTTGTAGAACACTGAATATAGTGTTCTCTTGACACAGCTTGATGGGAGGAAAATCAAAAAATAATAATTATAACAGAATTTCAGTGATGTTTACAATTGTAAAAAAGACAAAGAAGAGGCATAACTACCGTTTCAGAGGGTGTGGACAATCTCTTCCTCTCTCTCTCTGACTCTCCCCTAGTGTTATTTTAACACCTTTATGCTTGACGGTATTACCCTCAGAAGTGGTGAAATTTCTCAATAACATTCACTGGTTTAACATACATCATTGCAGCAGAATACCACACTCTTATGTTTGAATGACACAAAAGACTTGGAGGATCTGGATTTCGCCGATGATATATGTCTGATTTCCCATAAACTGGAAGATATGCAAATGAAAAGTAACAAGTTGGCAGAAGAAGCATCAAAGATAGGACTTCACGTGAACATAGATAAAACAGAGATGATGAAGATTCCTTGCCAACATCAACAGAAACAACAGACCACAATAAGCATAAATGGGAAGAACCTGAAAGAAACAACCTCCTTCACCTACCTGGGAAGCATCGTCTCAACTACAGGCGGAACTGACGAGGACATCAAAGCCAGAATCGGAAAAGCAAGACAAGCTTTCATTACTCTCAAATCTGTGTGGAGGTCAACAGCATTCAGCATCAAAAATAAGATCCGGATTTTCAACTCCAATGTGAAGTCAGTGCTACTATACGGATCAGAGACTTGGCGAGTCATAAAGAGCATCTCAAACAAACTTCAAACCTTCATTAACAACTGTCTCCGCTCAATACTCAAGATCAGATGGCCAGAAAAGATCAGCAACAGGGATCTCTGGGAGCGAACCAATCAGGAACCGATTGTGAAACAAATAGGCAGAAAGAAATGGAGATGGATTGGCTGGCTATACTCTGAGGAAACCATCAAGTGACACCACTAGACAATCCCTCGAGTGGAACCCGAAAGGGAGGCGGCGAGTTGGTCGTCCGAGGGTGACTTGGAGGAGGTCATGCGAGGAGGAGATGAAAGCATGTGGACAGACCTGGAGCAGGGTGAAAAAGTTGTCAGAAAACCGAAGTCAATGGATGTGCGCAGCTGAAGCCCTATGTTCCTCTAGGAACTAAAGGATACAATAATAATAATAATAATAATGTTTGAATGATCAGTGCGCCTGCTTCTACATCTTTAGTCCACAGACTTTGACCAGGACGGCGTAGTATTTAACCGTGATAAAAACGTCAGAGCACTGTTGAAGAGCCCCAAACTAGGACGAAACATCTGTCCAATAGTTACAATGGTTCTCTAACTGATATCAGCTCACGATGAAATCCTCCAGCCAATCAAACAAAGTCCCTACAAAACCAATACTTGAAAATCAATAAAGATAGTTCAGTAAAAGTGGTCCTTGACAATGAACAAAGTTCTAGAAGATTAATAATTAATACAATCGAAATGTCTTCTCAACGAAGCACGATTTCATAGCCTCTTGAAAATTATCTCACCAAAAAGATACAAGATCACTGAAATTTTGATTTTCAGGGAAAATATCACTTTACACGTTGGTAAAAATAGCTGGTAGCAATTCTTAAAAAACCTAGATCAAATAGTGCTATCAGAAGTTAATGACCTTATTTAATGTAATCACTAGGCATTATTATTGTTCCCTTGGGTTTCTAGTGGAACATAGGGCTTCAGCTGCACGTCTCCACTTGCATCTGTCTTTTGCTGTACTTTTCACCTACATCCATGTTAGTCCATACTGTTTCAACTCCTCTTCACACGATCTCCTCCTCCATGTCACCCTTGCACTGACGTCCCACTCGCCGTGTGCTTCCCTTTCGGCCTGGTTCCACTCCAGCAATGGTCTGACGCGCGCGCGATGTCACCCAGCCGCCCGCCTACTCAACAAGTGTCTAATCCATCTCCACGTTCTCCTGCATATTTTTTGGGCGATTGGTTCTTGTTTTGTTTGTTTGTTCCCATAGTTTCTTGTTGGTGATTCTTTCCGACCTGGCCCTTTGATCTTCATTGTAGAGCAAAGATAGTTGTTGATGAAGGTCTGCAACAGGCTGTTGGTTGGAAATATTCTTTGTGACCCAGCAAGTTTCTGATTCATATAGAAGAACTGACTTGACGTTCGTATTAAAAATCCGAATTTTGTTGTTTACGCTGAGTGACCAAGATTTCCAGATTGGTTTCAGGCATTACTTAATACTTATTCTTGCTTAAGTAAATCTCTTCATTTATTTGTACATCGAATTGCACATAAATAAGCTTTGCAGTCTACTCTATCAGTATGTAAGAATTTCTGAATTGAACAATTCAATGACCTAAGCTATAACTTAATTTGTGGATGGTGACTAGCAGTGGAATCCAGGATGCACATTTCGTCCTATTTTGGGATTCATCATCTGGATGTAACTGCTTCTGTAGTAGATAACTTAAGTTCGACACTAACTTTCACTTTCGCTTAGAGGTTATGAGGCTTTTTTGTGTTGATTAGTAAACATAGCGGCAAAATTCAAGTCGTATGGTATTTCCACATAACTGAATTGAATTACCAACTTCAAGTGTGTTTACCAGTCGAATTGCTGGTGTGGGGATAGACACACCGATTGCCTGAAGTGAGTTTTATCTAAAAGAATACAACGAGTGGAAGTGGAGTTATTAGAAAACAAATAAGTGAATAATATCTTATCGACAGTAGTCATTTGATGTATCCTACAACCTGTTCCTTTTAAAAAAAAACCCTGCCAACTGCTTAGATATATTTGTGTATCGTTAATTGCATACTGCTCGACAATGATATTCACTGTTACAACCATTGAAGACGTTTATTTCATAATTTAATAAATAATTAATGTTTCTATTTCCTTAAATACTATTATTATTTGTTTAAATATTCAGGAAGGTGTAGTATGCACTGCTAAGGTCGTCCACCAACCATGGCGCAAAGTCCAATATAAAGCTACCCTGTCTAAATGTCATTCAGATAAAACCCCAAAGAAGGTGGGAAAAGAGAGTCAAAAACATGACGGAAAGAAAAAGCATAATAACAATAAACCAACAAAGAAACATTAATCACTGAAGAACTGTGCAGCTCATAGAAGATCAAGAGAAAAGAAAAGAATAAGGAAGTGATACGTATTTGTGACTGTGCTTTTTAAAACTTTTTACTTTACAATATACATATGCTGTAAACTAACAAACTATTGAATTTTTGTTTTGAGTTATATGGTGATTCAAGCTATACTACTGTTTATCTTCCTGCTTAGTTGGCTTACACCTTAGGATGAGAGTCTTTAATGACATACTACGAAGGATATGCGACAGTGATTCAATAGTAGAAAGCTCGCCAGTCACCCACTGAGGTCCATCTTCGACTCCAAGACTATGTATCCAGAAACCATTACTAGTGGGCTGGCCAGGAGTAAGTCGGGTTTGAGATTAGCGGTCCTACCCTGTGACTGACTGACTGACTGGTTTTAAGGTAGAACTTTACATAGATGTGCAGCAGTCCGAGTTGCCTCTCTCCCCCTATGAAGCACACAAACAGATGAAGAAAGCAAAAGGAGAAATTCAAAAGAGAGATAATCAACAGAAATCGAAACAGGCAAAAAGAATAGTGATATGGAAGAACAATAGTTTTATTGGATATGATAAATCATAAGGAGTGAATGTTTCTGTGCCATTAAGAACGATTCTCAGTCATATCACCAGCTGTCTCCAGCTTTTGGTTTTTACCATCTTTGAGGACCTGCACCAACTGAGTATTTTACACCTTCCTACATGGTGGCTGGCTTAAACTAGTTGTTATGGATTTCATCGACTACCATCAACGTCTATGTTTTGGTTTGATCATCACTAGTTTTCTCCTTTCAAACCTGTTCCATCCTATGTTAGGTAGTATTGTCCGTCGAGGAAGGCGATGGCTAGGGATGGACTCTTAACACATGCCTTCACCACCTCAATCGATGTAAATTCACAATTTTGTCGGTTGATTTCCCCTCTTTATCTAGCACTCGACGCCTAACCTCAATATTACTCAACTTATAGGTAAATGTTGTTTTGATAACGTCTCACAGTGTTATACAGTAATGTTTACTGACGACGTTTCGAGCACAATTTATTGCTCACAATCATATCAAGGTAATCACACGATTTCCTAACTTCATTTATATAGTTCCATTATTTTTCACTTGATTTTCACTTGATTTGATTGGCAGTAGTATTTTCCATATTTCGGGTATGAGTGATGAGTCATTCCTATTGCATGTGTTTGGTGTAGGCTCGATGAACAAGGATTCAGTAATCAATCTCTCTCTCTACCTATTTAGATTACTTTTTAGAATTTTAACCCTCTCCCACCCACCGCATTGTGTAGTTGTGTGTTAATGCATACATGAAGTGCTATTGCTGAGCCTTTTTCTAAATTACTTATCTTCTCGGTGTCAGCCATTCTTACCTTAGCTAAATTCTTATGTTCCGAAAATCTGACCACTCCTGACCTACTATTTTGACCTATGTAGTTGACCTCGCTCACAGTCATTGCAGGTATTTTGTAAATTATATTATTTTGTCTAATCGGATCAACCGACAGGGTACTTTAACCTAAAAAGATTGTCCTACCTGAATGAGTCTGTAGGTTTAAATGCCACCCTAATTCCTGCTTTATTTAGAATCCTACGTAGAGTCTCAGATATCCCTTCTTTATATGGTATAACTGTAGATGACTTATATTCTCTCTTACTTATGTTATTATGACTAGTTTCACAATCATTTTTCTGTTTCTTTTGGCCTTTTTCAATCTTCCTAATGAATTTTTTTAATGATTACCTTGATATGATTATGAGCAATAAATTGTGCTCAAAACGTCATCAGTAAATATTACTGTACAACACTGTGTGATTTTATCAAAATAAAATTTTATCCATAATGGAATTATACAGTGTCTACAGTGACCAAGTTTTATCCTCATATATCAGTTAGCCTTTTCGTATCTTCCACTTTCAATGGCCATGTCTAACAGCTAGACATAAAAGATGACGGAGCAAACTGTTTCGCAGCGAACACGCCTTCTCATCGACAGCTGGATATCACGTCTACTAAGCCAGAGATGGTGTAAGTTGGAAAATGCCAAATGAGTCTTCTGTATCTATGCTGAGATTTCGTCAGCAATCAACTCGTTGGGAATGATGCAACTTCTCGAATAAGTGAAGTGGCCAACACTCTCTTCACCAACCATTTCACTCTTAACTATCTTTAAGCTAGGAGTCAGTCGATGTAATCCATTCCTGTTGCAGTATCTTACATTTCACTGGAACAAATCGTATAATAAGCACTCAAAGATTGGTGATCAGCTCAAGGTGTTCAGAAAACCCTGTCTGCATTTTTTTCAGCTTCTTCACCTAGGAGGGAGGACTATATCATATGCATATTCTTAGTCAACAAGATTATTCTCTAGTGGTAACAAGTCAGTCTCTGTGTCGCCGAAGTCAATTATGGTCAATTCCATTGGTACATCGATGATGAAATTGAACGGAAATGGAGATAGTGGGCATCCTTATCAGACACTACTAGTTGTCATCACACTTGTCAGGTGACAGCTTTCCGTAGGCTCCCACCTGGTTGCATGAATTCGCGTAGAATAACTTGATCAGTGTACTGTGTTTTCTTGGCATTCTCTTCACAGCCAAACATCGCCATAGTGCCTTTTGGTCGATAGAATCGAATGCCGCCTTTAGGTCAAGAAATATAACGATTGTTGGACGCCGGTAATTATGCCTATGTTCGAGAATCTGTCGAAGGGTGAAGAGATCAAAAGTCTATCTATATAGATATAGGTGGATTTTTCCAACACACCAACTCGAAGGTAGAGGCAACTCAATTCAGTTTTGAATTGAAAAGTGAAGAAGAGGAGAGACCACTGTTAGATCGTAGCGTAAAAAGGAAAGAAGATGGGAAGTTAAACACTAGTGTTTACAGAACACCCACACATTCAAACAGATATCTGGATTTTCGATCATCCTATTCCATGTCATTAAAAATAGGACTGGTGAAATGTTTAAGTGATAGAGCACAAAAACTAAGTAATGCCAAGGAAAATCTAAGACAGGAAGTGATACGCGTAAAAGAAGCCTTGAAACTTAATAATTATCCGGATAAATTAGTCAGGAAATATGTAAGGAAATGTAAAAATAAAATAAATAATGATAGTAGCGATAGTGATAATAATAATAATGATAATAATAGTAATATTATTAACAATATTAATGACGACACCAACAATAAGTGATTTAAATCATCAGTAGTAATTCCATACAAGGAAGGAACCTCGGAAACCACCTCAAGCAGAATTCTTAACAAGGCAGGAATAAAAGTGACTGGCATTCAAACCACCCACAAACTCAATTAGAAACAAGCTTTATCGGTTAAAGGAACCTTTGAAGCTTTTAAACAAAGCTGTTTAGTTTATCTAATACCCTCCTGGGATGATTGTCAGGTCATATATATAGGTCAAACCAGTAGAATAGAGGCAGTTAGACTAGCTGAGCATAGAAACCTAGCAAAATCTAGATTAGTTGACCCGAATAAGATAAGAAATCTAGAGAATAGTTCAGCTATAACACTACACCACACGCAGTTGCGCACAACCATACAATAGGCTGGATGGGATAGGATGACAGTTTTGAAATCTAATGTCACAGGGTGAAGGGAGAGATTGATGACAGAAGCTTTGTTTATCGAATCAACTGCAAATACGTGTAATAGGAATGATTCCATACCTGTCCACTCAGATATCTAGAAAATTCTACTACCCCAATGACGACAAATAGGAGAAGACAAAGAAAACTATAAAAATTAGGTTTGGAAGTAGTGTGATTATAATTGATGAAATGATTATGAACAATAATGAATTGTGTTCGAAACGTCATCCAGTAAATAATACTGTTTAACTGTGTGATATATCTAACAAACTAACTACTTCTACTACTAATGGAATTATATTCGTCTATGTTCTAAAGTGATGTCAAGATAAGCATTTATCTAAGATGAAATGTTCAGTAAATAAGCATAAAGTTTATAATAGGCTTGTGAAAGTTTGTTATTACTTTCAAAATATACCCAAAACTGATTGAAATTTTTGAGAAGTAGAGTTTGATTCTCTAGTTAAAAAGTCAAATAGCTTACTTGTTTCCGTGGTCACTAGCAGTGGAATGCAGGACGCGTGTTTCGCCCCATTTAACACTGGTCATCTAGATGTACTCGCATAGCCAGTGATTTAAAGTTTTCCCAACGAAAATTAAACCCAGAATTGATCACTTTATACACCGAAGTATTTTCTATCAAAATCAGTCAAGAGGTTTCAGTGAGAATTTATGAATATTGAATAAATTTTCAAAAGTGTTCAATAGAATTAATCTGGTTGGAAGTTCACCATAGAAATTAAGATGTATTCACGCCTTATCTTCATTTAAGTCAAAGTGATATATATATATATATTTTAACAGTTAAAAGGCAGTCTGAGTGAAGAATATTCGTTGTCATAAACTCTCTTCAGGTTCCTGTAGCTATAATTATTATTATTTCCTTTAATTCCTAGAGGAACATAGGGCTGAAGCCACGCGTCTCCATTGCATTCGGTTTTCTGCTAGAGTTTTCACCTGGCTCCAAGTCTGTCCACATGTTTTCATCTCCTCTTCACATAACCTCCTCCAAGTCACCCTTGCACTGACGACCAACTCGCCGCTTCCCTTTCGCGTTCTACTCGAGGGATTGTCTAGTGGTGTCACTCGATGGTTTCCTCAGAGTATGGCCAGCCAATCCACCTCCATTTCTTCCTGCTTATTTGTTGCACAATCAGTTCCTGGTTGGTTTGCTCGCAGAGATCCATCCCTGTTGCTGATCATTTCTGGCCGGCCATCTGATCTTGAGTATTGAGCGAAGACAGCTGTTGGTGAAGGTCTGTAGTTTGTTTGAGATGTTCTTTATGACGCGCCAAGTCTCTGATCTATCCGTATAGTAGCACTGACCTTGCATTAGAGTTGAAAACCCGGATCTTATTTTTGATGCTGAGCGCT